TCAGCCATCCGGGGTGCCCGGACCCAATCCGGCTTGCCACCTGGTTTTGCATTTACAGTTTTAAAAGTTGCTCTTTAAATGTTTTCAGAAGGACCTATGTGATAGTCTTTGTGTTGCCTTTGGCCCTTTACATTGCTTTTGTAGGTAGTTCTCTGATAGCCTGCTAGACACAGAGCTGCAGTGTAGTGGGGAGAAATTAACAGAGGATCCTTGAGACCCAGGAAGGTAAGGCAGATGTGGGGAGCAGGCGGGAAGGAGCCAGGGGTGGGGAGCCCAGAGTGCAGGGGGCTTGCTGCCCAGGTGCAACAGGGGGCCAGGGGCTCCCCAGAATCCCCCCCCCAAAAAAACAGGAAGCAGTCAAGTAGTTGATGTGTTTGAACCATGCAGAAGAACTTTGTCTTCTGCAAGGAGCTTCGGGCGTTAAGTAGCTCTAGATAGAAAACCAACCAATAAACAAGCAGTGTTAACTGCTAGGAAAACAGGATGAACAAGAAAGGAAACACAGTCTTGGGCGTCAGAGACCACCACATGGTTAGCCGCACATGATGCCCAGATCATAGCAGTGTAATTGCCGGAGTACGAGTTGACCAAGGGCTGAAAGGGAGCCCAACTGGAAGGCGGGAGGAGAAATGGGTGGAAGACAGCTGAACCCTCACCTCCACCATCAGCAGCGTAAGCGCGTAAACTCAGGCGCTAACGGGATGGGCCTGTGATTTAAGGACAGAGAGGGACAGAGTGTAGAGAGGTGATGACTCACTGAAACAGCACGAACGGCTTTGCGTGTCTCCTATCCACAGAGCCAGCGTCTGCGGGAAGGTGCTGCATGTTGTCATAAGCCTTGTACAGTGATTCGACTTTTAAAATAACGTGCCTGTATTACTTTGGAAAATAACCCCAAAAAGTGGCTGGTTAGCCTGCTTTGGCAACTGTGGTCCCCAGTCCTGGGGAAGGGGCACAGGGTGGGGCCTCCGGGGCACAGTGGAGAAGCAGGTTGTCATGGATGAAGGCACGCATGAGTGAGCAAATGCATGAATCGTGACCCTGCCCTTGAGGAGCTGGGAACTGAGTATGCTGGAGGGCCCTGAACCACGAGGGAAGTCGCCCAGGGGTCAGGTCACAAGTGCTCTGAGCAGGTGTGGTGATCCCAGGAATGAGAGGCTGAGTCTGTGAGTGGGAAGCCGGGCTGGGCTACATAGTGAGTTCAAGGCCAGCCTGAACTGCACAGGGAGACCTTGTCTGAAAAAAAAAAAAAAAAAGACGAAAACCAAAAAGCCCTTCAAGTGCCGCAGGAAGGCAGGCTTGGAACGGGTTGGGAGGGGACAGAATGTGCAGAGATATGGAAGGGACCCAGGCCTACCAACAGCCCGCAGAGCCCCCAGCTCACACTGTGACAACTGAGGACGCCTGTGTTTCCAGACACTCCAAGGGATAGCTGAAAGACTATGTGGTGGGCCAACAAATGTAACAAATGTATGAGAAAATGCTCAGCCATCTGGGAACTGCAAATCAAAACTGCCATGAGATACCATCTCAGCCCAGTGAGAACGGCTGTTACCGAAACAACAAGAATGACCAATGCAAACAAAGGAGAAGAGAAGAAGAAATGTACAGAGGAATGTACATTAGTACAGCCGTTATGGAGAGAACAGTATGGAGGTTCCTAAAAAACTAAAAAACAGAGCGGCAGTATGACCCAGCCATCCCATGTGTTTCCAAGAGAAATGAAATCAACATACCAAAGAGACACTGCACGCCTGTGTTTATTGTACTGCTGCTCACCATGGCCGAGACGTGGGCTCCGTCCAGGCGCCCATCCGCAAAGGAAAGATGAGGACAGTGCGAAGTAGACGCACAGCGAAACGTTACTCAGCATCGAGAAGAACGTAGCCCTGCCATTTGCAGCAAAATGGATGGAACCGGAGGACGTCGTATTAAGTGAAATCAGCCAGACCAGAGAGACACACAGCACACATCCTCTCTCAAATATAGAAAAAACTTTAGAAGTTGACCTAAATGTAGACTAATGATTACTAGAGGTTAAGGAGGGCTACGAAGGAGGCTGGGTTTGATCAGTGTGTGCTGCATGCATGTATTAAGATTTCGCACTGAATCCCATTAATATGTACAATCAATTCATGTTAATCAAAAATAAAATGAAGGGGCTGGGGATTTAGCTCAGCGGCAAAAGCGCCTGCCTGGCAAGCGTAAGGTCGTGAGTTTGGTTCCCGGTACCGGAGAAAAACCAAAAAAAAAATAAATAAATAAAATGAAACCCGAAAGAGTGAGCTACACGGTAAAAATATATTGAGTAATCAAATACGAAGGAAAGGCCTCCTGCGGCACTGGCGGCGGTTCCCGTTGCGTTTGGAGTGGAAGCCTGGGAACAACAAAGAGCCGCTTCCTTTGCCAACCAGCGACTTTCCTTTCCGAGGTTTCAGTTTGTTACTGAGGGCCTGCCCCGTGTCAGTGGTACCAAGGCAGCAGGGCAGCAGGGGCCCTCCTCGAACTGCCCGGAGAGCCAGGTGCGGGAGCACACTGGGGACACGGGCGGGACGGAAGCCTGCCGTCCTCTGCTCCCTGCTGCTGGCTCAGCGGCCGGAGTCAGAACCCCGGTTTTCTCTGTGTCCACGGCCACACCCTGGCGTCCTGGCGCTGCCGGGCGTCTGTCTGTGAGGCCTCACCTGGTGACTGGGCTGGAAAATGGTGAAATCCTGTTCATAGTAAAAACAGCTTCTTCTGAGCCTTTGCTGCCATAGACACAATTTTGGGGAGACTTTGACTTAGAAAAGAAGGCCGCCAAGAGAGATGCATTTCTGAGTGACTTCTGTAGGCCAGGTCTCCCTGGCCGGTTGGTCCTTTCTCCGGAGTGACCTCTCCCACTTGTTGAGTAGGTGTGCCTGCAGAGCTCAGGAGCCCCCGCAGGGACCGCGCTGGGCCACCCCACCTGCCACCTCCCACCTGCATCCGTCTACGCTGTCATTGCCAGCCCAGGTGTTGGCTGTGACACCGGCTGATGTGCAGTGCGTGGCCTGACTCAAATCCGTGAACAAAAGCAGTCGTACTCCAGCAGCCGTGTAAGGGATCTCAGAAGCAAGGTGGGACCTGTTCCACATTCAGTCTGACGGAAATCCCAAAATGTCATTGTACAGAATTCATCTTTCACTCAAACAAAACTGAGTAGAACGCTGAGCAAGACACGGCAGTGCCCGCCCCAGCTGGCCCACCCAGGACACCCTCTGGTTCTCGCTGCTCGAGCGTCCCGACCCCTCCAGCACGGACAACCGCGAGCTTTGCTTTTCTTCTCCCTTCTCTGCACTTAGTACGCTGATGATTTATGCTCATGATGATTAATCCAATACAGCTTCTTCAAGAGACTCCTGAAGGGCTGAAGTACCTATTGCCTCAGGCCACATTTTATTTATTTTTTTCAAATAGAGATGGGAGTTGGTCTATTTTATAAAGCTTTTTAGCTTTGGCTTCTGTACCTTTACTCTGCAAAGTGAAGGATACTAAAGACTGACTTTTTTTTTCTTTTTCTTTTTTCTCTTTTTGAGACAGGCTCTTGCTATGCAGTTCAGGCTGGCCTTGAGCTCACTTTGTAGGCCACGCTGGTCTCAAACTCACAACAATCCTGCTGTCTCAGCCTCCTGAGTGCTGGCATTACAGACATGCACCACCAGGCCTGGCTAAGACTGACATTTTTATTGCATCGATCTGCTTACTAATTTCACATATTACCTTGTTGGCACCGTGGTGCCGAAGGTGGCATCCTACCAGCGTCCTTGTCAGCAGTTTGGTGGCTGAACCTGGTTTCTGAGTGTCTGCAGTAGCAGAGGACAGTTTGCCAGCGGCCAGCGGAGAGAATCACCCAGAGGGACAGGGTTAAGAGGCTGAGGATGTGAAGGGGTGTGGGTGGGCAGGGGGGCACTGCTGGGGAACTGGAGCCTGGGGATGCAGGGGTGGTGCGTCTGCTCTGGGGCCAGACAGGAAGCATGGAGCGCACGGAGGGCAGCTGAGCGTATTCGACCCAGTGTGCATGCGGTAAATAACACGCCTCCCTCCGGGTGCTGATCCCTGGAACTCGGCCCCGGCGCGAAGGCACAGCCAGGCATAGCGTGGCCAGAAAGGAGGCGAATGCACTGGGGCTGAACGCGTGGGAGCCCCGCCCTGCCACGGGAAGGGGGACGTTGGCCACAGCGCGTGGCAGGAGGGGCCCTTGGCTGTGACAGGCTCTGTCTGTTGCGCCGCCTCTGCCCGGGCACAACGTGCTGGCCTCAGCTCCAGGCAGGAGCGGGCGGCCCGGTTGCCAGCTTCTGACCGTGCGTCTCTCACCTGTGACTCTTCAGCCAGCCAGGCTGTGGCAAAGGCGCCCTTAGAGCTGAGCCGCATTTTGGCTTCTAGTTTCAGCTTGTCCCCTGATGGACTCCGGACAAGCAGGCTGCAGTGGGGGCTTAGGTGGGGTGGGCAGACCCAGAGGGTTGGAGTCGGGGACCCTGTCGAGGGTCCCCTGCTACCATGTGCTTTGGGAAGAGGATTAGGAGGGAATCCTGTCCTGGCAAAAGATACCTTCAGACGCCCTCCCCTGTAGGCGTGCGGAGGACGTCACTGGCCTCACCCCTGGGCTCTCCCCGGCAAAGCCTGGCAACAGCTTGAAGTCCACCAAGAGAGGACTTAAAAGCAAGGTCACCGAGCAAAATAGGAACAGCAAGAAATTTCTTTCTGATAAATGGCAGCCCAAAAGCCCACAGCGGACGGCATGCTTGGTGGGGAAATTTTAGATGCAATGCTGTGAAAGTCAGGGACCAGGCGGGGTATCAGACAGCCCTGCTACTGTCCCACATTGTCCTGGATGTCGTGAAATGAGAAAAAGAAATAGTAGGCAGAAAAAAGTCACTTTGTGCAGGCATTTTGGGTTGTGTACATGAAAACCCAGGTGACGCCTTGTTTAGTCTAAGAGGACTCCTACAGAGCTCAGCAAAATTTCTCCATTGCAGGAGCCAGTTATGTTCCTGTGCGTTATACGGAGAGCTGTTTAGTGACTTACGAGGAAGGAAGCTATCGCGGCTGCAGCCACCACCGCTACAAGGGACCTCAAAGTGGAAAACAGGCGAGCGTTTCATGGAAAGGGTGATAAGAAATCTGGCCAAACGGAGAGGCGATGTCATGGTACGGCAGTGAAGGTTCAGTGTCCACAGCACCAGCTGGCCTCAGATGAACGCAGGGGGTTGATGGCATTTGATTGAGTGACTCTGATATGAAACAGGAACGGCAGGAATAAAGAGTCAGGACAGTTTCTAAGCAGAATAAGCAGAGGGCACTTCGCTTTGGTCTCTCGTGACTTCTGGGTATTAGTAACTAAGGCTGTTGGACTTGGTACTGAAGTGGACTGACGGACCAGCGGAATGGAAGAGAAACTCAGGAACAGACCCATGAAATACAGAACCTTCATATGGAAAAGGAGGGGCGAGGCTGACAGCAGTAGCAGAAAGGATAAACTAACTGTTCAATAAAAAGAATCAACCCAGGAGAAACATTTTTGACCTAATACAACACATACAAATACCTTCCAGATGGAGGAAAGGCCTAAATGTGAAAAATAAGACATTAAAACTTCTGGAAAATATGTGACACTCTTTTATCAGCTCATGGCAGGAGAGGGATTTTTAAAACAAGAGAAAGAAGCCATCAGCCATAAAGGAAGAGATTGATAAGTGTGACTAAGTTAACGTTTAAATCTTCTGCATGACTGAAGACACCATAATAAATTGAAAAGGTGATGCCGCTCAGGAGGCTGAGGCAAGAGGACTGCTGTGAGTCTGAGTCCAGCCTGGACTACATAGTGAGACCCTGTCTCAAAAAACAAAAGGAAGAAAAAAGCAATGCTACTTATTGGGAGGAGGAGAGAGTCACCATTGATGGGCTCAGGAGAGGGTGAGAAACCATAATACATAAAAACTCCTATCAACTAGCGAGGAAAAGGTACACAAGCTAATTGGGAAAATGTGAGCACATTATATGAACATGCAATTCGTGGAGGAGAAAAACCTGAACACCCAGCAGACCCAGGAACATATTGAGTCGCACCAGCAGTCAGGGAATCGCTCATTAAAACCAGACACCACTTTGTGGCTCTCAGATTGGCAAAAATTAAAAGTGAGGCTGTTGGAAGCGTTGATTGCCGCTGCTGCGAGTGAAAATGAGCGCGGTCTCCCTGGAGAGCCTTAGGCAGCCCCGCCGCAGGGCTTGGCCGCGCACCGGAGGCGTAGCGTCTGCGAGGCTGCTGTGTGTGCGGGAAGTGGAAGGAAGCTCAGTGCCCCTGGGCAGGAAATATGGAGGTGAGGTCTATTCACAGAAGCAACTGCACGCCCAGGTGACTGCACGCCCGGGTGACCGGACAGTGCGGTGCTGAGGAGTCGCAGAAGGGTTTGTGTAGACGGACACCTCTTCTGCGCTTCAAGCCTTCGGATTTAGTGCGGGCCCATTTATCCTCATCCAATGAGGCCTAAGTTGAAATGAGAGACCAGACACACGGGCATCACCTTGCAGAGAGTGAGTCAATCTGCAGGCGCAGGAGCAGAAGAGAGGGAGGTAAAAGCAAAGAGAGCTTTCTCTCCCTCTGTCTTTGAGGGCAGAATACGAAGAAGTGTTCCTTCTGGGTGGCAGCCCGGTGTGTGATGTTCCTCTATCCGATGTTTCGTCTGTATGTTTGGGGGTTTTTAAGAAACAGGTTCTTCTGAAGGAAACAAAAACGGTTCCACTTTATTTTTAAAGTGGGCAGTAATTCAAGAAGCAGTTAAACGAATCGCTTTGTCGCCCATTCCCGGCGGGCGCTGCAGTGAGCGTGTCTGGGTGAAGCGCAGGAGCAAGGGGCCGGCTGCAGGCTGTGGCTCTGCTCCACCCTGGACGGCAGCCTGGGTGAGCCACGGCTCTGCCTGTCGCTTCCCTGGGTGGAAAACGCCTTGGCCACCACCTGCTGCTGGTGACATTAGTGCCTACCACGCAGACGGGCCGTGAGATCGTGGCGAGTTCATGTGCAGGCCCCTCACGGAGCAGACTGTGCCACGGGGCCTTATCATTAGCACCGCTGAGTATGACTTGCCGGTCGGTCAGGGAGACGCTAGCTCTGTTAGCTATGGTGGATCCAGTAAGCTTCGCTTAGGGGAATTGTGGAAGTAGACACTGTTTTTAGTCATGGCTGCTCTTCTGCAGCGGTGAGACAGAAACACCTCTCAGGTCTCCAAATTAACCTTTTGAGCTGGAGATCGGCCACTCTGCGCCACCAGGGACCTCGCGAGTCTCTGCCTGTCAGCTCTGGTCGGCACCTCACCAAGCACTCCTTCACGTATCCAGGGCTGGCTGTAAAACCAATAGGAAAAATGAAGTAATACTGGCTTTGCTGAAAGGGATAGCGTTCCCCCTCAAACATGGCTCCTTGCTCGGCACCCTAAACGTCCACCACAGCTGAAACTCCAAGCCCGGTCCCGAGAAGCACGCGAGTCTCCCCGCCTGTCCCTGGACTGAGCGGCCGCTGTGGGTAAAGCCAGAGTCTGCCTGCTACAGGCCTGAGCCAAAGCAGGGTCTCAGGGACACCAGGTCTGAGCCCGGGGAGGGGGCTGGTCCTGAGCAAAGCAGGTGAGGACTGGGTCCCCCGCACCCCCACTGGGTCTGGTTGTCTGTTTTTCCTTCTTCCACTCTGCACCCCACCCGACCTTCCTCCTCCTACCACAGGTGTTACTAGGGTTTGAACCCAGGGCCCTCACACTGAGCTACATTCCCAGCTCTTTGTATCTTTTATTGTGAGACAGGGTCTGTCTAAGTCACTAAGTTGCCCAGGCCGGCTTCCAACTTGCCACCTTCCCGCCTCGGCCTCGCAGAGTGCTGGCTTATGGATGTGTGCCACCATGCCTGTTTTCCGCCCTAATTTTTAAATCATCCACTCTCTTGGTGGGGAGGGAGAGCCGGGGCAGTCTGATGGCCAGCCACAAAGGGGACAGAGACTTTCAGGAGGGATTCGGCGTGACTCTAAACTAAAGGGAATTGGGGCTGGGGGTATAGCTCAGCGGCACAGCGCCTGCCTGGCAAGCACGAGGTCATGAGTTCGATTCCCGGTACCGGAAAAAAAAAAACAAAAAACTAAAGGGAATTGAGAGTCCTCGCTAAGCAGCTGAGGAAGTAATCGCATTTGGAAGGAAGAGGCTGGTTCTCCTTCAGAGCCCCTAATGGGTTAATTGTTTCAGGAAGTCATCTTCTCATCTCTTCTTACTGGAAAGGGACGGGTTGGCATGGGAGAACGGAAGCTCTGGGTCAGATAAGGGAGGGTGGAGATGCCCCGTGAGACAGGCTGGGGCACCTGGAACTCAGGCCTGACTCATCGCCCGTCCTGGCCTCTCCTCCAACGCGCCATCTCGGGGGTGGTGCCTTAGCTCCCCACCCCGCCTGGTCTGCGAACTGAAAGAAGCCCCAGACATCATTCTCGATTCACCCCTCTTCCTGGACAGCCATCGACACTGTCCCTTGTGCTCTCCCTGTCTCCCAGGGACCAGCTAAAGACCAAACCCACCCTGGCCTCTGTCCGCCCTGGGAGGTATCTGTCTCAGGCAAGGAAAAGCGGCGGAATCCACATTTCAAACCACCTTCCTAAAATTTTTGAAATGTCCTGACTCCTTGGGATCGGATCCGGTGGAGCGGTGCTTTGACCTCACAGTCTGGAAAGCTCGCGCTGGGGAGCACAATTGTCTGCCCTGCAGGTGATTGCCTGATTACTGTGACTTCGGTCCCTGGCTTTGTTGCTTGCAGAAATCTTTGGAAATCATGGTGCGTCTTGTAAGCACGGGTTTAGTTAGAGCTAAATGTTGTAATTGGTGAATGTGCTTAACCAGGTGCACATGAACATCCCGGGAATAAATAGGAGCTAAGGGAGCCCCTCCCCACCCTCAGGGGCGCCACCACCCGTGTCAGGGGCCAGGGTCAGGCTATGTGTAACGTTTAAATTAGCTCATTACAGAAAAGGAACATAAAGAGAGGCTCTAACATTTTGATTTCGTGCACCACACCAGTGCTGCCTCTCGGAGGCTGTCACCATTTAAATCACGGCGACCCCACCCCTGGGACACAAACCCTCTTGCTTCTTGCTTGGGGATCTTTCTAGAAGACCTTCCTCCTCCCCCGAGGGAATCCTTCTCCTTTGCAGGGTGAGGGGACAGCCAAACCCAAAGACATCCTCAAGGCTGTGCCAGGTTAGCCCTCAGTCAGAAAAAACCCATCCCCTCCATGGCCCTGCTAGGTCATCCCAGTGTTACTGTGGGCACCCTTTAAAGTAATCCTGAATGCCTTTCTTAACCCTCAGAAACGCCCTCTCGCTCAGATGTGAAGGAGTTTGAGCAACAAAAGGTGTTTTCTAGAAGCTTCTAAGCTTTGATCACTTTTCCGTGGGGCAAGGGAAGAGTCAGGGCTTTGCTCGCCCCTAACGCAAAGGGACAACTTCATTTCAGTCTACTTGCTCCAGCTCCCTGTTCTCTCTTCAGTATCCAGGAGTACAAAAAAGTTCTTCCCAAGGGAAGCAAAACGTTTCCTAGCTTGACTTCACAGAAGGTGCAATAACTCAGTCCTTCTGGAAGCCACAACTACTAGGATTGCATTTCTAGACACTGCCTGAGGTTCCTCAGTCATCGTCCCCACAGCTGCTTACAGGAAACCAAGAGCTAAAGTAGAGGAGGCGTCTTCTTCTCACTGTCGTGCTCGGCTCCCCTTCCAGAAGCCTCTTCCTCATCAGTCATGCAGAGAAGAGAGAAGGAAGTGGGAAGGGAGGGGAGGCTGTCACGTCGCCCTGGCTTCTGCCCGAGGCCGGTCGTGAAGGCTGCGGCTTGAGGGACGAGGCTGGCCCAGGCAGCTCCCCACACAGTAAAGGGCTGAGCAGAAGGCTGGTTGCTCCTCAGGAAGCTTCACGGCCACAGTTGTGAGCTGCTCCATCTCAGCAGGCCGCCCGAAGTCCCCGGCCCACCCACACTGAGATGTGCGTGCCAAGCACGTGCAGCACCGTGAGTGGCCCCCGCCTGGGCTCTTGCTGCTCCCGGCCTTGGCTCCCCTTGTACCCTGTGTCCGCTGCCTGGACAGACATTCACTGAGCACTGCAGATCGTTTTTGTCTGGATGCTGTGGCCTCTTTCAACTGCTGCTCAATTTTGGGGCTCTTTGCCCCAAATATTTGTCATCATAAGCTGTCTCCGGAAGTGAAGTGATACTGTGTGATCTGCTATTTCAGGTCATTTCCAATTGTATAGCTCCGATGCAGCTCTCTGTGTGCACGGTCGGGCTTTCCACGCACTCGCTGGAGACCTTGCAGGGTCCCGGAAGGGAGGATGGCTGCCCCCCGTCCGCCCCACGGCCAGGGCAACGCTCAAGCTCCCTCCCGGGCCGAAACGGAAGCTCGGGGCCTGCACCTCTCACGGCAGCCATCTACCTCGCTCCCTCAGATGCACGGCCTTCTTACCGCGCTCGTTTTACAGGCTCGTCTGGCTCTTTTCTGCCACTCCCCCGCTTGGTAAGATCTTCCTGCTGTTTGTCGCCATCAGCCTGGCATTCCACCATCCGGAGGAGCCGAGTGTTTCCTAGAGACGCGGAAACATCACTTGCACTCTGGCTCAACGTCATTAATAAAAGCGGTGGCTCAGACCAGCCCGCGCATTTCCACACAGTGAAGGGCCCACTTGGGTGATCTATTGCCGTCTCTCCCCAAACTAGTTCACCGCTGTTCTCCAATCATGGTTCTGGTGCTTGGCCTCGCGCTCCGAGCACCCCCTTCGTGTTCCCTTGGCCGGATGAGCGCTCCCATCCGACTCGCGCCCAGGAAACCCACTGTTCTTCCTACAGGGGTGAAGGTCGCAGCTGCACCGGTCTCGCCTCGTTGTGCTGGCAAGATGAGCTCTAGGACAGCTGCAGAGTCTTGGTTTCCTCTCTGTGCTCAGGGATTCTGAGATAGGGTAAATAACGCCTTCCCTCTCCTGGCTGGAGAGTGGGAGGTTTTGTTCAAACGTGGCTAAGAGAACGAGCCCGGCCGAGAGAGCTTTCCCAAGCTGTGGGTGCGGCAGTGAGAGAAGTTTCGCCAACACCCCTCCCGGGTGCGCTGGTTTCCCCCTCAACAAGCCGTGTCCGCTCGTTAGGCCTCCTCTTTCCCCAGGCACCACACACACCCCTGACCGGGGCTCCCGGAGCTTGGCTCAGGCTCCCCTCCCAGCTGCAGTGCCCCCTCCTAAGGGGTCAGCAGCACGGCCCTTCTGCAGAAGGCTGCGACAGAGAGAGGGGTGGAAGCAAGGCCGAGGCCTCCACGTGCAGAAAACCTCCTGAGCAGGAGCGCTGCCGGGACAGGCGCCGTGCCCCACGCCCCTTTTAACCCTGTGTGTGGATGGAGCACCGGCCCTTCCCCACTTGCTCCCCCCGGGCAGTCAGGCGTTGTGAGCGTGTTTTGTTGACCAGACTGTATTGATTTGACTTCGTTACTCCTTCCCGTTGTTTCCCATAATGCATACTGCATGCCGTGATACATATATGGTAAATGTTTACATTTTTAAAAAAAATTTATAGTAAAAAACACACAGTCATGAATCTCCCTCAAAATCCCCCCCTCCCTGATTTTGAACACACTCATCCCATTCATTCTGGCAACTTTCTGCAGCAGCTCTGGAGTCTTCTTTTCTGTGGGTCTTTATGAGATGTGACCAGAAGCACAGCGCATGCTATTGCCAAGTGCCATCCAACAGAAAGGCAGTCGTAAAAGCATCAGAGTGTGTCCTCATCCACCTTATTCCCAGGGCCTGGCACCGGGTGATGGCTGACTCTTCCCCAAAGTCAAAATGATCATGAAAGGAAAGTGTTTTGAATCAGTTCAGGGCATCAAGACAGCCATGACAGAGCAAGTAAAGGCAGCGAGGAGAGAAGCTCCCAGAAATGCTTCAGAAAGCAGCAAAGGAGGATGGGATACATGTGTTCAAAGTGAGGGAGAGAATTTTGAGGGAGATTAATAGAAATGTGTCTTTTACTATAATTTTTTAAAAATTTACTGTATTTTTCAATCACATCTCATTTATGCGTGTGTGTGTGTGTGTGTGTGTGTGTGTGTGTGTGTTTCCGTCCAGTAAGTGAGGGAACTAGTGAACAAAACAGAATGCTACAAGTGTCTCTCCTTTAGGAAACACTATATCACATTCTATTAGTCTCAATTAATTTCCTTTTGCTGCTGTAGCAATTAACCAGTTTAGGGCTGGGGATATAGCTCAGCGGCATAAACGCCTGCCTCGCAAGTGCAGTTCAATTCCCAGTACCGGAAGAAAAAGAAAGAAAAAAAGTCCAATTAACCAATTTAGTGGATGAAAACACCATTTGCATCTCGTGTTTCTAGAGATCAGACCTCTGGAACGGGTTGGTTTACAGGCCAAGGCCAAGGCGTTGGTGGGAGCTTCTGAAGCCTGTCAGGGCGAGTCCTTTCTCTCACCTCCTCTAGTTCCCAGAGAGCCAGCATTCCTCTTCATCTGTAGGGCCAGCAGCCACATCCCCCTAACCTTGCCTCTTTCTCCTGCCTCCCTCCTTCACTTATCACAGCCTATGGCTGCCCAGCCCTCTGGACCGTCGGGATGATCCCCCATCCCACAGCCTTCACTTAATCACATTTGAAACATGTCATTGGCCATACACTAGATGCCCACCAGTTCCACAGCACGGGGATGCAGACATCTTTGGAGGAGCGGATACTCTGCCTATCACACATATGCCTCTCTGGGTGTCAATAAAACACACTAACATAGTATAGAAAGGTTTTAAAAATCTCACAGAGAAGAGTTTATTTCACTTTGCTTAATAGTCAGTGTTTTTCAAACTTACTTAATCAAGGAACTTTTTCTTCTTCCCAAGGAACACTTCTGTATTAGTCAGCTTTCCCGTTGCTGAGACATAGCACCTGATAGCTGTAAGTTCAAAGAGGCAGGGTTTAATTTGACTCACAGTTTGGGGGATGCAGTCCATGGTTGGCTCTGTCAGTGGCAGAAATAGCAGGATGGAAGGGCCTAGGGGAGGGACATGGCTCACAATCTGGTAGCCAAGAAGTAGAGAGAAAGGGTTAGATATGCAACCTCCAAACACACCCCAATTGACCCCCTTCTTCCAACCAGGTCCCACCTCCTGACAGCACGTGCAGCCATGAACTCATTCATGGATGAATCCATTGACGAGTATACAGTCCCATGATCCAGTCACCTTCCAAAAGCCCCACCTCTGAACACATGAAACTTCTGGGTGACACTGTAGACCTAAGTCATAATAACTTCTCACTTCCATGGATTGCTGCTACTTATTTGGTAAATGGGTGCTCCTTGAGATCATCGTGTTAGATGAAGTAAGTCAGACACACACACTTAAATATCAAATAGTTTCTCCTGGATGAGAAACCCAAAATCAAATCAAAAGCAATGTAAAAGATAAATAATAGGAAGTACGTACAGAGACAGAGCTTTCTCAAGTGGGAATGGGATCAAGAGGTGAAGAGAGAAGCAGGGAGGGGAGGGAAAGGGAACCGAAAATGAATGCTGTGTTGTGTGCACGTCCCATCTCCACACAGGGAATCGAGGATCACAAACCTGTACTGATAAGAATTTTAAAGAAGAAGAGCAGGATTCAAACTGGCGTGTCTGAAAATCCAGACTTTCTACGAGGCGTGCAGAGGAGGAGAGTTTTGAGGCTGCTGATTCATAGAGCCAACATAGAGTAGGTGCCTCAGCACCTACTGTGTATGCAGACTTTACACAAATGCATGGGAAGACTCTGGAGATCAAGGCACAGAGACTCCCCGGCTGGGCGCAGAGCTCAGTCTCCTTGGCTCACTCACAGCATCCTTCCCCAGGGAAGAACCGCGATGAGACACGTTGCCGTGGGGCACCGAACCTCCTGGGTCACGTAAAGGGATCAGAGAAACTCGGAGAGCAATGCTTCTTTTAATCAAGGCACCATGACTCATTCTTCCCAACTTCCTATAGAGAGGCATTTCCTGTGAAGCTTTACTTTTTATGTTTGATAAGTATTCACTGAAATGTAGTTACCTTATATCATACCAAAAGAATTAAAATGATAACTCACTCCAGAAGAAAATATTTAATGCTTGGAGCTGCACGGTCACTCAGATCACCTTTTAATTTAAATTTCTATTTATCTTCATCCTTTGGTTGTAGATAATTATGATGGGTTGATCACATATTTTCAAGTGTAAGAGTGTACATGAGGTGAAGTTCTGTGGGTGAAGTAGAATACAGATAGCATTTCAAGGAGAAAAGAAAGAACGTTGCCAACTTTTAAAATGACCCTGTTCGTGCCATTTTTATATGGACCATAATGGGTCTTGAATTACAATGCCTCTTGAGTTACATGGAGCACATTTAAAAGAATCCCTTAGCAGGTTAATATGGAAACATCAGATATTTACAATATCTAGAGTGAAATTCTAAAACGATCAATTTTAAGAGTATGCAAGGAGGTACATCATTTTTCAGAAATTATGGAGATTTGGGGAGGTGCTGGGAATTGAACCCAGGGTTTTCTTTCACACTGAGCTACATTCCCAGCCCCTTCTTATTTTGAGACAGAGGCTCTCTAAGTCACTATGTTGCCCAGGCTGGGCTTGAACTCACAATCCTCCCTGCTCAGCCTCCCAGAGTGCGGGGATTGCAGGTGTGGGCCACCTTGCCGGGCTCAGACCTCTTCGGGGGCTGTGTGAGCCAAAGGTATGGTGACCCTGGCCCAGAGCAGAACGCAGGACGTTCTGGTGGCCAGAGAGCAGGTCTGCAACCAGGCAGCTTGGGGAAAGGCCCTCTGCTGGGCTCGCAGGTCAGTGACGAGGTGGCCCACACGGACCCCGGGCTCCATTCACCCAAGCCCTGCCTGTGCTGCCAGCATGCTGGGCCTGGGGGTAAAGGGTCCTCGGCAGCCACGGCAACAGTGGGCGCACGTTGTCAAGCGGTGCTCTGTACCTGGGAGCCTGCTGCGTTTCTACAGACCTTTAAAAAGACCTGCGAGGGCCATTCATAGGAGCTGTGACTACAAAGCAATGACTCACTTTCTAATACTCTGTGACAGATCCCTGCGGGCCCTTGTCCCTCTGGGATAGCTGCACAAGGCGGCAAACACATGTTCCTGTGACTGGGCCATCACTCAAGTCTTGAAGCTCCTGTGGAAATGGCTCCAAAGCATACTGCACAATCTTTTGAAAATCCTTAGTGCCTGTAAATATTTGCCTCTGGGAGACAAACAGATTTTTTTTTTTTTTTTTTTTTTTGGATGGAGCAAAGGTTACTGACACAAAGGTCTGGTGACATGGCGGATGCCACCCTGGGCAGGAAGAGCGTTTGTCTTAAAACTCCAGAGGCACATGAACCAGGAAGTTGGAGATCTCTCGGTAGGAAAGAATCAGGAGCCCCATTTGTCCCATGTTCTGCATGGTGTTTATTCTCTGTGTCAGAGGCTGCCAGGGAGGACCCCAGTTCTGGAGGAGTATTAGTTTCTCTTAACGTAAGTTTGGTGTGCGCTGGATTTTATGCTTTGGTATTCTTCTGCAGTCTTTCTATGGTATTTTATGCAGCAGACATCCACCCATCCACCTCTGTACCCTGAGCTAAGCTGCATGTTACGGGTGGCCCTGTATCTGTCCTCAGGCCACTTGACTCTTCTTGGGAGGATCAGGATAAAATGCACACTTGAGTGACGGTGGCCAGTGGGGTTTATTTTAAATGTCAGTTTAGTCACTTGCTGATCATCAAATCTAAGACTGTCAAGAGCAAGTGCTCTTTAAAAAGAAAGAAAAAATTACATGCGCTTAAAAAAGAAAAAAATGCTGACAAATTATAAATGATACTTTTTTTTTTTTTTTTAATACTGGGGATAGAACCAGGGCTTTTGTACTGAACTACATTTTTGGCCTTTTTTACTTTTTATTTTGAAAAAGGGTCTCACTAAGTTGCCCAGGCTGGGCTCCAACTTGAGATCTTCCTGCCTCTGCTTCCCAGACTGCTGGGATTGCATGCATGCACCAGCAAGCCTGGCTATTTTTATAATTTTTACCTATATTTACTGAAATAGCTTTGTTAGACTTATGTAGACAAACTGTTGTGGGTTTTTAAAAAACATATATTGCTCTCATTATTACTCATAAAGGGGAAAATAACAGCAAAATAAGTTAACTGAGGTTTTCCTAAGCCTGTTCACATTCAGAATAATACTTGTCTGGAGCCAGGTGTGGTATCCCATATCTGTAATCTGAACACTCAGGAAGCTGAGGCAGGAGAATAACTGCAAGTTCAAGGCCAGCTTGTGCTAGATCACAAAGCCTTTTCTGAAGCATTTCCCACCTTCAGTTATCAATGTCTGTATTTCCCACACGCTGCCACCGTCTCTGCCATCAGCAGTGTTAGTGAGGTAGATTCTTTCTCTCACATTTCTGATACTGCTGTGTAAACTGACACATACACAGGTAAGGGCAACCACAGCACAACAGCTACCTGGCAATCCTGGCTGTAAGACACACTCCAGCATCCAAGATCTCTAACGTGCAAAGCCACATCTTAGACACACTGAAATATGGATTCTGAGACTCAAGTCAGAACGTCTCCCATGAACAACTATCCATGGCCCCATTTCCCTGGAAAGGAGTTGACACTGGGGCTACATGCATCCCTGTCATCATGCTATAATTTGCTCCTGTATAGTTTCTGCAAAACAGGGTGGTTTCCATGGTGACAGCAGTTGCAGGCACTGTCTGTGAGCTGGTCGAGTCAGGAAGGCCTTCTGCATGACGGTCTAAAACAGCGAGGCTGGCCGGAGCCAAGAGTCCTCTCCCTGCAGAGGATGAGCACGAGTCTAGCAGGTGCCAGAGGGTGGGCAGCCCCGCATGAGGAGGGGGCATTGACTTCACCGTGCAGTGTGGGTTTAGCTGGGGAATTATGGGAGACTGTGGGGCTTTGCATTACGAATAAAGTTCAAGTTAGTGTGTTTTATTTGGGGAAGCATAGCTCACGGCTCTCATGTTCCTGTACATCTCTCTCCCCCCGCTGTAGGTCCTGATGTGTTTAGTTCAAAGAGCCTTGCCCTGCAAGCTCAGAAAAAGATCCTGAGCAAAATAGCCAGCAAAACCGTGGCCAACATGTTGATCGATGACACCAGCAGCGAGATCTTCGATGAGCTCTACAAAGTCACCAAAGAGTACACCCGCAACAAGAAGGAGGCCCACAAGATCATGAAAGACTTAATCAAGGTGGCCATCAAAATCGGGATCCTCTACCGGAACAACCAGTTCAACCAGGAAGAGGTTGCCATGGTGGAGAAGTTCCGGAAGAAGCTGAACCAGACCGCCATGACCATGGTGAGCTTCTACGAGGTGGAGTACACCTTCGACAGGAACGTGCTCTCCACGCTGCTGCACGAGTGCCAGGACCTGGTGCACGGACTGGTGCAGCGGCACCTCACACCTCGGACCCACGGGCGCATCAACCACGTCTTCAACCACTTTGCCGACCTGGAGTTCCTCTCCGCCCTCTATCGCCTGGATGGAGACTGTAGGCCCAGCCTCAAGAGGATTTGTGAAGGCATCAACAAACTGCTAGATGAGAAGGTCCTCTGAGTGGCGCCCTCCCCCTGAACTCTGCTTCCCGCCATCCAGCCTGGTCCAAGTGAGAATCAAGACCATAAGCAGAAGCCCTTGTCGTCAACGTCCGTGTTCTGTCCTACTTGTCCCTCTGATGCAGACACTGAACTGAGCTCAGGTGCATCCACCCTGGCTCCCAGCAAGGTCAGGGCTTCCAATCACCCACGCTCGAAAGCCTGTTCAAAGCAGAGAGGCCGCTTTCCTCCTCGCAATGGGCTCAGGGCATCTCAGAATGGAAGGAGCCCTGGACCAGGAGCCAGAAGAGAGCAATCCAGTTACCAGCTGCACCGGTCCCGTCTCTGTCCTCTGTCCTGGCCCCGTCACACCCGCCGGCCTCCCTCCCAGGGCTGTTGAGAGGATGGATGGTGATATGTGCCTCCCCCCTTTGAAAGCCCACCTGGGAGCTATTGATGTCCCCTCTGCGTGGAGAGGGATCAACCTATGAACAGCAGGGAAGAAAAGAATCACAGACTCCAACGGGGAGGGCTTGCAGTCTCTCTCTAAATGTGCTGCGTCAAAGTAAGATGAAATCAAAGGTGTAAAGTATACTGGCAAATTGAAACATGTTCAAGAGTTGTGTTTGGGTCTCAGAGTGCAGGTATGTGCTGGCATGGAGGGAATCTGTCCCTGGGGGTGGGGACAGGGTTTCCCGGCCAGCCATCAGCCCCAGCTCGGAGCACCATGCGCCCTACCAGGCCAGCCACCCTCGGGCCGTTGGCCACCCACGTGACCCGGGAGGCTTCACCCCAGCACGTACGGGACAGTCAGGCAGATGAGTCCCCATTCGTTTTTCTTGGTCTTTCACCGTCGTTTTGTGCTGTCTTCTCTGGTCCAATAATAAAACAAAACTACCCTTCCAACAAGAGGTCTTAGAGTTGTGATTCATAAAAATTCTTTGGAGTTAGATTCAATGCTAGGAATAACAGTATTGCAAGAAGAAAATGAAGAGCAAAGCACTCGCACCCCTAGGGGAAGGGCCCCGGGGAGCTCACGGCGTGTGGGGACACCACTTCAGCATCGTCCAGACCCGGGTGAGGGCAGCGGGCTCCTCTCCTTACAGCACGGGGCCTGGCAGGAGACCGAGCCTCCCTGCCTGCGTCCTGCGCCTGTGGTCTGTGGTGACCCCGAGGCCTCGCCGTCTCAGCCTCGTCCCCGCCCCAGCCCTTGCACGCTCTCCACAGCAGCACACGGGTGGCGGTGCGAGGGTGTGACCCCACGTCCGCTGAGCCTGGACTGGCCCTTCCGCCAGCCGGCCCCCACGTCCCCGTCACGCCGGCGTGTTGTGCAGGGCAGCTCTCTGGCCACGGTGCACAGACGAGTCCATGGGAAGGACGGCCAGCAGGGCATGTGGGAGACTCAAGCCGGCCCTTTCTCCATCTGTGGCGGACGTGGCCGAGTCTTCCTCCCTGGCGTACTCTGAGCCGCGTGGCCCTGGCCCCTGGGCAGCACTGCGGGGAGCTGTGAGCAGTGGGCTCCCTCCTGCCCCCCTGCCCTCCAGGCACCAGCCCAGCGGCAGCCGGACGGATGATCACAGGCTGCGTCCTCGAGGTCATCCTAGGTGTGCTCGTGTGGCTCAGGACGCCACTCTGGAGTGCGCCCGTTTCTCATTAAGTAAATTAGAGAGAACTGTTACGGAGAACCCAGACCTGAGAGGAGCAGGAGGAACTGTCCTCTGTCCCCGTGAGACCGGTGGGGCAGAAGCCGGGTCCCCAGCCAGGGAAGGCACAAGCCTCCCCCACTGCAGGCCCACTGTCCTGGAGGTGGTGGAGCAAGGCAGAGTTGGGCTCCCACAGTCCCCAGGCTCCAAGGGTCCTGGCCAGGGAATGATCAACATTCCCACCAAACGCTCTCAGCAAATGCTACAGCGTGGCCTGCCTCAGCCTCCCCCGCTGGGGGAACCAGTGGGGTGTAGCTGTAGACTAGCAGGCCAGCTGGGTGTCCCCCAAGCTTGTCATCAACTGCCAGAGTAGGTTGGGCTGCACAGGTACAAGTCACCCCTACTCTTCTAAAAGCATAGGGCCAAAACCAAGCCAGTGTGCACATTTCAGACCCACGATGGCATCTAGACCCAAGTGACTCCTGACTGAAATCTGGCAACTGAAAAGCTGACAGAGTTCAGATATTTACGTAACAATCTCAGCACCAAAGAGGGACTCCAGCTGCGGCTCTCAGTGGCTCTGAATGGCTATTTTGGTTGCAACAATGAGACAGAGGCCGACAGACACTTCCAGAACCCCTGGTCCTCTGTAGATGCCCGTCTGTGCTCAGGACTCCACCAAACTTTCCAGTACTGAGAACCTCAAAAGCAGAGCCAGGATATCTGCATTTACGTGTTGCCCATAACAGAGGCGATCATTTTGCAAGAATGATGGGGAAGGAAACTAATTTCAGAAGACGGAACCGTGCAAAATCACTTCATTGATCAAGCCCCGTGTATACCTCGGAGAACAGTGCGTGGCTCAGCCCTTCAAGTTCGGCGTGACTCGTTTCACGTAGGGATGGCGGCGGCAGCCTGTCTCAGGCATCTGGCAATGTCCCCGGGTCTTCAACCGTCCCTCTGTGTCTGTGTCACTCCCCCCTTGCTGTGTTTGCAGCCCTGAGTCACTGACCCCTCCGTGGCTCCAGGTCTCTGCTCAGAGACAAACCGAAATGAGACTTCCCCATCTGTGCTTCTCCAAACTCCCTTCTTCCCCATCTGTGTATTTTTTCAGGAGCAAATCAGTACATTCATAAGCTGCTCTGATGAACTTGAGTGCATTTAGATTTGAAAAGCAAGGAACTAAAATCAGGGCTCTGTACTCTCCACCCAGTGTCTCTGGGGATTTAAAAAAATTCAGTATGACCTCAGAGGTCAAGACCATAAGCAATCAGTGAAAATTCTAGATCAGCTCGCTCTGGCTATAAAGGTATCTCGATAGCTGGAGCTGTCCAACAATGTCCCAGATGTCAATGGCCTTGGAGAAGAGGGTCACCGAGGCTGTCCCAACCCAGCGCAGTGGCCAGTGGGTTCCCTTTGTGCAGCCTGACCTGCTACAAGAGCCACAGCCCCAGCCAGGCCTGGCCTCAGCCTCTTGCTTGTTATTTCTCAAAATAGCATCTACAGATCCCTGTAGTTCTGGGGCTGGGAGACGCATGGAGTCCTTTTGTTCTACAGGAACCTTTAATTTTTGTTTCATTTGGACAACTTTTTAAAAAGTTGAAACCAACATAAGTGCGTTCTGAATCATGCAGGAATGACCTTATAGCCAAGCAGCGCCATCTGTTTGCGGATCTGGGTTTCTCTTTGTGTTTATGTCGCTCGTGCTAATTGAGTACCTCACATGACAGGACAGAATGTAGCTTAATGTGCCTCCCAGGCTAGGTCTGGTGTCCCTGGCGGGTCCGCTGGCGTGCCCCGGGGTCCGTGGGTGCTTGGTCCAGGAAGCACGGCCGTGGCGTGTGAAGGATGGGTGTCCCCTGGCCCTTGATAGTGACCCACTTATGGGAGCACAAAGACTGAGCAGTGGGCCAGCGCCTTGGAGGCAGAACCGTCTCTGCTATATGTGCCCGTGGGCTTCCATCCTCCATCGAGCCTTTGGAAGAAAACTGGCCAAGAAAAGCTACCAGCTACACATCAAATCAAAGAATTGACCAACCTATCCTGGAGGTCTCATACTAAAAGACTGTCCACTGCAGACACAGCAGGGATGGGACCCCCATGGAAGGAAAAAGGAGAAACTTGCCAAGAAGAGAGGTCAGTTGTACCTGCCAGCCTCGGTCCCAACGCGGCCTCCTCTCCTGCAAGGCCCAGGCCTCCAGAGAGCTTGTGTGGGTCCCAAATCCCAGGAGCTCATTCCTGGAGAGAGAGGCACATGGCTCTCAGATGTGACAGCATCCGATTCCTTCCCGTCCCAGGAAAGGGAAGCTGAGCAGAGCCACACAGCTCGGTGTACCTCTAACCTCACCATTCCTACTGCCCTCCAGGGCCGGGCAAGGCAGGACGTGAGGAAGAGGGCCCTGCGGCCCACCCAGGAGCTCCACTTAGCTGACTGCTGAGGCCTTCTGGACTAGTGCCAAGCACAGGGAGTCGGGTTTGGCTCTCAGCGCAAGGAGGGGCTGGGTCGGAGCCAGAGTTGGCACAGTGCGGAGGCCCCGCAGCAGTGGCAATTAGATTGTGCCAGGGCAGGGGAGCTTTCTTGGGCTCTGTGTCACCCCAAAGGAAGAGCGTGGGCCGTCCTCAGGCAGCGATCCGGCTCCCTCCACGCAGGAGCAGCAGGCCCTGAGCACCACGGGAGAGCAGCACCACGCACTTCAGCGCTGCGGGTTTTTAGGAGAGAATCCAATTCATTATCCAGTGAAGCAGTCTTTTCCAAGTAGGCTGACAAAAGGCTTTCCAGTGGTCTTCTTCAGAAATCTGGAATATAGAACTAAGTTCATGGATTTCAAAGTGGAAAAGTGATAAGCCAGAAAAGGCAAAGACACCAGAGAACCACATGGCCCATGGAGACCCAGTGTCTGCACTGGGTCTGACCCTCTGCTGAGGTACATTTCAAACTGAGATTGCCCCACTCCAGGAATTTATCTCAGGACAGAGCAGATGTTTGTAAGCAAAGTCACACGTAAGTTGTGAGTGATCTGAGTGAAATATTTTAGGGTCCCATCAGAATCATTTAAAAATATATTAAGAGAGAGCTGGGCCTGGGGGCTCGTGCCTGTAATCTCAGCACTCAGGAAGCTGAGGGAGGAGTATTGCTGTGAGTTTGAGGCCAGCCTGGGCTACATAGTTCAATACCAGCCTGAACTATATAGTGAGACCCTGTCTCAAAAAACCCAATAAATAAATAAAAATAAATTAAGGAAGCCATTCTCCCCACACATGACATTTGCAATAGATATCTCAAGCATTTTATCATTAACAACCTTACTGAGATATGATTCACATGACATATAATTCACCTATTTTGATTCAGTGATTTTGACATATTCACAGGCATACGCAACCATCACTAATTTTTCAACATTTTCATCACCTCAGAAATAAAGCTGATACCTTCAGCCATCACCCCTAGCCTTCGGACCCGGCCAGCACTATGAGGTTGGTCTTTCCCCCAGTGTAGCACAAATAAGAATGTCTCAGCCTTGGATTTGCTCTGTGGCCCTGAAGTTTGGAGCATGCAGATCCCAGTCACGTAAGTGACCAAGAGTCACTGTGCTGCCTGTCCAGTTCGGCCTCAACGCTCCATGGAGAGGGGATTCTGCAGAGTGGGCCCAGCTGCCGGGGCTGGCTGCAGCCTACCCTCGCCTTCCCACAGCCCCCCAAAGGAGGCTGAGGCAGGGGCCACAGCTGAGGGGGTCAGAGGGAATGTGGGCTTCGCATAGGGCAGAGGACCTCAAAGCGTGGCCCTCGAGCCTCTTGTGTGAGAATCCTGAGGGACGGGGCACAGTTCCACTGAAAATACAGACTCCTTGGTCCCATCCCCACCCCATTCAAATTTCCGAGGCACAGCTTGGGGATCTGCCCAGTTAAAAACTCCTGGTGAGTTTTAGACACAGGGAAGTTTGCTGAGTCCAGGGCAGAGGACTGAAATTCGGTGCATCTCAAATCCTGTGGTTCTCAGAGAATTTGATTTCCCCTAGAATTGTTTCTACATCCTGCTTTTTCTAGCTCTGAGTAGTCTATCTGCCTGTCCCTTTGTGTCCGGGAGGACCCCCTGGGCACTGGGCTCAAGCCCACACTGCTCCCGTGGTTTCCATCTCCTGGGGTGGTCAGCTGGGCTTCCTCACGTGCCGCCCCGGGGGCCGCGGCAATGGCGAGGTGGCCCGGCTCGTCCCCACGACGCTGAGTCTCACACTGGCTGCATTTTCCCCTCTTCTCATCTCTTAATTCATCAGTTGCCATCTCAGGTGACAGCGTGCAGTTTCTCATCTAAGGCCAAGCACTTACTGGATACTGATCAGAAAATGCAATTTCCAGAGCCACATTTGGCCCAGTGTCCCTGGAAAGGACAAAGAGAGTCCCTACCCCACAGTCAGGATCCGTTTCTGCCAGCCCCTCCTCAGCCATGTGCTTTCCACGGCCCCTTCCTAAGCCATGCGGGATGATCTGGAAACAAGACTCCTCAGGACCTGGTGGAGAGGGCCAGAAAGGTGGCATGCCTTTCCTTCGGCCAGCAGAGAAGCAGAATCTTCAGATGCACCAGACTTGGGGTTCCCAGGTGGGAGGGAGTAGGAGCCAGGGCCACAGAGACGCAGGAACAAGGTGCCTCTGGTTCCCCTGCAGATGATCAGGGCCACCCAACTACGGCAGTGTCTCCACCCAAGCTCTCTGAATGAGGGACCAGACCAGGGCCTCATCTCAGAGATGGACCTGACAGCCGCTGAGAGGGAAAGTAAAGAATGGGGTAGAGGGGACCCCAACCGTGCTGTCCAGTGGATGCTCACAGGCCTCCTCCAGGGACCAACTGCCCCACTGCAGGTCCCCTAGCACAGGTGGGACAGCGGCAGCCAGAGCGGAGTAAGGCCCTGCAAAAGTGAGGGCTTGTCCTGGACCTCTCACCTCTCCTCTGGAGAGGCAGACCCGCTGCTGGCTCGGGTGACCAGGACATCACTGTCCCCAGGTGCAGGTCCAGAGCTCGGTAGAGCGCTCGGCTCCGTCTCGTGGGCAGAGGCTCCTTCCCTCGCTGCTCGTGCGGGAAGTGAGTGCCTTCCTTCCCAGCTGCCCCACACTCCTGGGGCTCCTGCCCGCATGCTCACCCTGGCCTGCCAGGGCCGGCCGGTCCATGACTCCGGCTTTCGGTTCCACCCCACTCATTCGTCCAGGGAAGCCAGAGTCCCGTCTCCTTCCATCTCTCACTCCTTTCGCTCCTCCTCACCTGTTCTCAATCACATCCTCAGGGATTTAGCTCGCAAGCGCAAGGTCGTGAGTTCGATTCCCAATACCGGGAAAAAAAAGAAAAAAAAAAATTAAAATCACATCCTCTCTGGCTTTTGCCTGGTTTTCTACCAACGAGATCCATCTCCCGAGAAAGGCAGAGACCTTCATCCTGTTTATGTGCACACAAGGATATGAACGCACACGCGCCTTCTTTCCTGACTCCCCAAACCAGAGCAAAAGCTTTTCTTTTGCCTTTTAAAGAGCTAAATCCAGTTGATAAATTCCCCTCCCGCAGAGTTAACTGCAGATAACAAGACTGTGTGAAAGATGCTTAACTAAACATCACCAAGGACTTGCAGGAAGTACTGGCCCATTAGCTCACTTGGCTAATGTGGGCCTAGAGCAGGTCCTTTGCCCTCACCGGGGGAGCCAGTGTTAGGGTTTCTGTCTAGACGTCCCCTAAAGCCGCATGTGCTCATAGGCGGGACCTTCAGGAGGTGAGTGGATGGAGGGTGTGACCCGGAAGGGTTTGCCTGCCCTCCTGGCTCCTCCCTTGGCTCTCGGCTTCCTGTGTGCCACGCCAGGAGCAGCTCCCCTGTGCGTGCCCCTCTGCCATGCTCTCCTGACTGGGAGCTGGCTGACCACAGGTTGTAAACATGAGCCAAAACAGACCTCCTTCAAATTGTAGGAGTTGGATATTATGCCTCAGCAACGAAAAAAATGCCTGAGACGGGGAGAAGCAGTGGTATTTCACTGCCAGTCTCTCCCTTGCAGGGCTGAGGGCTCCTGGGGGGTTAATCCAGGCCGGGCTGGTGTATCGGGACAGACTCTTCCCCCCAGGAGAGATCTGCGGCTTAGCCAGGCTGTGAGCTCGGCCTTTGTCAGCACCGGGTTCCCGGCTCTCCTCCCCCGCTCGGTGCCGCCCAGGGAGAAAAGGCCCCTGGGGGACCGGGGGACCCTCATCATCAATGCTGGCCATTTCCTCGCTTGCCTGTGAGTTCCCAGAGGAAATGCGAACAAATCAGACCACACTTGGCTGCTGGCCAAGGAATCTTTGAACTTCTTCAATAAAAAGTCTTTAAAACTTTGGTTCTGACCCAAATCTTTTGCTCTAGCATAAAAACTGTGGGGCCTCAAGTCTCTGTGTTTAGAGAAACAGTGTGTCTGAGGCATTTGAATAAGGGTATTTATGTCGGAATCGGGTCTCTGAGTTCCGCTGTTCCATAAGCTCGCTGTACCTACACTCAGACTCCGAAGCTGCCTGAGTATCCTGCGTGCCCCCCTCTGCAGTGGCTGTCAAGTGTATTTACTTGAGAATATTCCTGACTCCATCTTCTTACTTTGCTGTCCATTAATTGAGCCTTATAAAGGCCCAGAGACTGCTGAGCTTCCTCGGAAGCCAGGACAGGAGAGAGCAATCTCTCCGTCTGTCACGCAGGAGCGCTTACAGAGGTACCACGGGTTGCTGGTCCCACAGCTACCACCGCCTAAAAAATAAATGTTTGAGAAACTCGTGAGACAATGGTACTTTTTTCTTTTCCACTGACTGGTTCATTATATGTATTTTTTCATTTCTCTTATTGCTGCTGACTTCCACAGCAATTACATGGCAGATACCGCTTCTCCAAAAGCAAATCTTCTGCCTTCAGGGGCCGAGGTCTCAGGAAGAAAGAGGAGCAGGTCTTCCAGACATGGGCATTCCGCATCCCGTGTCCTCTCTGAGTTAACATCCTCAGCACCTCCACGTTCCTGGACGTAGTTGTATCGAGCCCACTTGGAACCTTCAAGAGGAAGACTAGAGCCATCAGAGCAGTTGCCGAGAAGCCACTACACCCTGCCAGCCAGGACCCGACAGGATGCGGGCAACTGGGCAGCAGCTGAGCCCTCCCTGTATATGTCCCCGAGGCAGAAGGCCGAGCCCCCTCAGCCTGAAGTCCATCTGCTCCCACCCAACCTGCCCCCCAAGGGGAAGTGAAGAACCCGGGAACGCTCCTCTGACACTCACTGGAAACTAGCCTGGGAGCAGGGGGCTCCCAGGCTCAAGGAAAGATGAGAGAATCACAGGTCAAACCTGAGGCAGAGTGTTTCAGAAACTGGAGTGGGCGAGCATTGCTAAACTCTTTCCACAATCCCTCCCCCAGCTGGGGCGTAGCTCAGTAGCGGAGCACTCGGCCGACACACGCACAGGGCTCTGGTTTGGTTCTTGGCCTCCACACAAAACATTTTGTTTTGGGGAGCTGGGGATGTTGGTAAGTGCTAAAGCACTTGCCTACCATACACAAGGCCCTAGTTTTGATCCCTACCCCTGCAAACCAAACAAAAAGAAAAACAAAACGTTACCTGTGTAATCACTCCCTTACTGAACCCAAACCCTTCATTTTCACCTGAAGGGCTTTTGATGACAGTAGATGGGAACCAACTCTGTTTTGGACTTAATTTTCTTTTATGGCCCACTTGCAGGTGTGTCAGAGGCATTGAGAGTTTAAAATAACATTTTTGTTATTCTTAAAGGGCCGGAAAAGGTTTATCTGAACATAAATGTGTTGGCTCTAGTCTTTTAAACACCAACAAATAATTTATAAGGATGGACATCACTGGCCACACAAAAAGAGAGATTTGAAAGATGCCTGCCCCATTCCTAATATAGGAATCCTTTTTTGTAGACCGGCAACACCACCCATAACATCACCTCCCCATCACCACCAAAACGAGGTTCACTTCAGCCACCCATAAAACATTTTCATACTCTATCATAATATTTGTGGATTAAATTATGATAGTTGACCTAGTTTTATTCTGTTTTCATTTTTTTCCTGCTATTACATTCATATATTTACAATGGAAACTTCTGAAGTTGGCCAGAACCACACTGGAGCAGAAAAATTAGGAAAGCCAATGAAATGACGTGTTTGTAGACATTTATGATGTTGTGACTTTCCAAAGCTCTGTGATGCCAACTCCTCATATCAAGATAATGCTGCTGGTGTGAGTATCAATGATAAACCATAAATGAACACGTGCATGCCTATTTTAGGTAGTGGCTACTTTGATGGCTTTGGAGGACTCTCTCCCTGTGGGTCACTCTGCTTGACACTGGCTGTCCTCTGGGGATGTTCTGGGTGGCTGACCTTGGAGGAAGGCAGCCCGTCTGTGGGGTTAGGGTACCGTCCCTGGCACTGCTCAGGGGAGGACTGGTCTCCGTGGTTCTCAGACGGTAGCTTTGATGCAGGTGGGATTCACCAAGCCTGAGATTTGCTTCTGCTTCTCTCCTTCTCCTTCTCCTTCCTCTGTTTTCATTCTAGCTCTCTCTATAGCCCGACTGCTTTAGAGCTCAAAGTCAACTCCCTGCCTTATCGTTTCTCCGTCTGCCTACCCATGCCCTGCCCCTAGCCATGAAGCCCAAACTCCTCCTCCATCCTGTACTATACCTCTAGGGAACAGGACTCTGGTGCTCTGTAAGTCAGCAGGGCTTGCTTGGAAGCCCACTTCCGAAGAACACCTTCTGCTATTTTCAATCTGTGGCTTCTCCGGACCTGTCTTATTTCATGTTCAGCTTCCCAAATGCTGGTCGGTGTGAGAAAAGGGAATTTCTCAGCAGAAGAGCACTGCATGCTTAGTGAAGTTTTAGGAGGTCCCAGAAAAAGACTGAACTCTTAACACTAAGACTCCTTTTGAGTAAAACATCATAGGGCTACACCTTTCTCTCCAGAGTTTAGATATTCCTGAAAAGAATACACAGTCATTCGTTTCCATGCCATCACACCTTGCCAGGACAACCGGGTGTCCAGTGCCTAGCTGTTTCCCTGGAAAACAATGGAATGCAACACAGCTGTGGCAAGTTTTAATAGGAGACGGAAGATGAAGTGTGTGAAAAAGCAGAAAACTCAGGAAGGACGGCTGCCTCCCGCTAAGTAGATACTCTCATGGGGTCAGGGGGGCAGCATTGTGCACCCAAGGGTTATGATAAATGGGACAGGAGGGGAGAGCTGAATCAGTCAAGGTTCCATCAGGAAAATATGAATCACTGCCGAAATTCCCAACAGGGAATTTAGTACCGGTAATTAGTTACCAAGTTGAGGAAGGAGCTGAGAAGCCTAAGAGGACAGAGATTAGCAACAGAAGCTGCTGTCGAGCCCAGGTCTGCAGGACAAGGCCATTTGCTGTCAGAAGCTTGGGCTGCCCTGATTAAATCAAGACTTGATGTAATTGTAGGTATGTCCTTAATCCATTTCTCTGTAACTCCTAGTCAGGTCTGCCAGTTAGGGTTAAATATTTCTCTATAGAATGTTTGAACCCAGTCTGGATCCCATTAGACGTCAAAGTTGAATCTTTTTCCCGTCTTTGAATAAAAGTGAAGGAGAGGAGCAAATGTCAACAACCCACTACTCCAGCCCTGAGGGTGCTCTCTACAAGACCAATAGAGGTAGAGACAGGTAGAGACATACATCTTCAAGGCCAGTCCCAAAATACACTTGATTTCCTGGCATCCCATCTTATTCATTGCATGTCCTGAAATTTCCATCTCATAATGAAGTATCATTATTAAAAGTTCATTAAAGTAATCTTGGATGTTTGGTAGAATTCCACTTTGCCCATCTTCTCCCATGGCTTCAGCATATGCAGTATGTGAGCCCTCTGTGCATGGACAGATTTCTTATTTTATTTATTTTATTTCTTATTTTAACACATTTGAAAGATGATCGTCTATAATTCGTATCTCTTTTCCCAAAATAACAGAACTAGTACATCGCTTACACCAAGTGATGGGTCCAGCTAACTCCAAGGCGTGAACAGCTGCGAGACAAGTGTTTGTCCATCTTCCCAGTCTCTGGTTCACGGACAATCACACAGGTTTTCCAAACACAGTATGCCCAGACCATTGACTGGAAGGGTCAGTGAGAAATTGTTGGACTTGGTGTGAATGAAATGCCAGGACAAACAAAGGCAGAACACATAACGCAAGTTTTCTGCAAGTTCTTGATATTATGGTCTTGTCACTTATTATATGATGCTAATCTATCACTATTGCTTTATTATTTGCTATTAATATGTTTACACTCCATGGCAAACCCTTTCAGCAGCAATGAGCTAATAAAAAATGAAAGTGCTCAATAAAAACTAAGTATCTTGTCTTGTCCCATTTCACAAGACAGTTAATAATGGGTATGTGACTTGGACAAATGTTTGTATTTACCACCTACCTCGGTGTGACCGCATGACAGTGAGAAGCAGCAGTGTCTGCTTCCGAAGTTAGCCATTGTTTAAAGGTCTGTACCTTGAAAGGTCTACACAGCATTGTAAAAAGACATTAAAGAAGACATACGTAAGTACAAAAAGCATCTTGCATTAACAGATTAGAAGATTTAAGACTACTGAAATAGCAATACTCTCTAAACAGACCTAGATCTTCAATGGCATCCTTATCAAAATTCCAACTATCCTTTTTTTCAGAAATGGACAAAAGCCTAAAGAAAAATTCATATGAAATTGTAAGGGCATAGAATAGCCAAAGCAATCTTGAAAAAGGACCAATCTGGAGGACCTATAATGTCCCAGTGTCAGAGTTCTTCCAAAGCCGCAGTGATCAAGATTATGTGGCACCAAGGAGAGGCACAGGAGCGATGGAACAGAACTGAGCAGCCAGACGACAAATACACATATTTACGGTCAATCGGTTTTTGGCAAAGGTGCCGACGCCATTCAGTGAGGAAGAGATAGTCTTTTCACCAAAGGGTGCTGGCACTAGATAGCCACAAGGCAAAGAGCTCACCTCCACCCCCGCTTTCTACGATAAACAGAAGTCAACACAAATGGGACAAATCCCTGAAGGTAAGCAATAGAACAATAAAACTCTTACAAAGCAGTTTAGGGAAAAGTGTGCATGACCTTGAATTTGGCAATGATTTCTTAGATATGATACCAACCACATCATCAAACAAAAAATAAGCTGGGCTTGAGCAAAGGACAGCAACAAAGCAAAAAGACAACCCACAGACAGGGGAAATACTTGCAAATCACCAGTCTACAGAGTCTAGCATCCAGAATATATAAAGAATCTTATAAATAAACTATTTAAAAGAAAACCAAATAACCTAATTTAAATTAGACCTAGGCTTTTAGAGATATTTCTTCAAAGATGTGATGTTGAGCATGTGAAAATGGAAATAAAGAAACACAAATCATAACCACCATGAGCTTTTACTCCACCTCCACTAGAATGACGACACTGAAAATAAGACAATAACAAGTTCTGAAGAAGAGGGAGAGATTTGAGGCCTCACACAGTGGGGTTGAAAATGGTGATGAATTTGCTTTGGAAAACAACGTGGCAGCTCCTCAAAAAGTTAAACAGAAGCTACCGTGTGATCCAGGAAATCCACTCCTCAGTCTATAACCAGGAGAAATAAAAATGTGTAGAGCATTCATGGAAAAACTTGTGCATAAATGTTTATAGTAGCATTACTCATAATAGCCCCAAAGTGGAGGCTACTCATAATAACCCAAATGTCTACCAACAGACTGGACAAATAAAATGTGGGCCATCCACGCACTGGAGAACCACCGCATGATACAACATAGACGGGCTCTGAGTACTTGTGCGGAGTGAGTCCAGATTAAAGGGTTCACACACAAGGTGATTCTCTTTCTCTGAAATGGTCAGGATAGGCAAATCGTTGGAGATAGAAAGAGGAGTATCTGTCAGTCGGCAGGAGCTCGGGAGAGAGAAAACTGAAGTAAGTACCAAGAGAACAGGGTTTAGGTGGGGGTTGATGGAAACTACATAGTGTTGCTGACTGTGCGAAAGTATAGTCCTCAGAAAATGCCAACCAGTGTCTCGGTTTCCACCGTAAATACATGGTCATTCAGAAAGACGTGGCATACAGCAGCGCAAGCTCTGTACCCGGATATGAAGAACCCAGCAAGCTCCACAGCTTCCTGAGATGGTTCCCTCCGAGCCCCTGGTGTGGTATCTGACACAAGGACTTGGCCATCCTGGAAGGTGTCACCAGATGATTCCCCAAACTGGGACTCCCCAAAGGGCAAGTGTCACTGCCCAGCACCAGAACCAGGAAAGTGCTCAAAGGATGAAAGGAAGGAAATAGGAGAGGCGGGGACAGAGGAACGCCACCTCCACTCACCGGCTCTGTGCGCTGCGGTCCCCTGAGCTCTGCCCCTGCAGTTCCCATGTGTACCCTCGAGTGTGGGTCCCCGGAGACCATGGGAAGCCTTGTGTGATTACTGGTGCGGCCCCCTCTCCTCTGCGGGCTTCTGGGCCTGGCAGCTGTGTCACCCCAGACCCCACGGTGGAGCTGCATTTTGAAGTCATGCCAGCCTCAAACCGCCAGGCTTCCTGCTGCTCTGGGCTTCGCTCCAGGACTCTGGCCAGGAGCGGGTGTCTGGTTTTCCACGCTCTGCCCTGTTGGGGGCCAATCACGGCACTTTGACTGAGAAGGGTTATATTCACAGGGCTGCACGCTGATGTGGCTGAAATGACTTATTTATTTAAAAAAAAAGTTTCACATATATAAAGAAAGTGGTTAGAAACGTTAAACGTGTTCACTTTGTTAAATGCACGGTGCACTTGTATGTGTACCTGTGAGTGTGTGCTGTATCTCTTATCACTGCTGCCGATTGTTTTTCTAACACTTCAAAATATACCAGTGGTCAGTCATCAGTGACCAACTTGTTGAAAATAGCTTCCCTTTGGCTTCACAATTACCTGCTTTCAATAAAATAAAATAAATCATAGCATTATTTAATTTCCTGACCCGATTATCAAATTAATCTAAAACAATATAGCAGTTACGATCACCCCTCAGTTTTCTTTTTTCTAGCTGGACTTTGGCAGCAAGAATGGCTTCAGCTCCACACACGACCAAAAAAAGAGAGCAAGATGTGTCTCTCGGGTAGAAAAAGAAGAATCCTTCCCCATGACAGGCTCAGCTTGTCAGTCTGCTCGCAGACGTTATGACACCCTCTTCCTGGCAGAGCTCCCAAAGGGCCAGCTGCTCTTCAGCAACACCAGGGGTGTGGAAGACAAAAAGGAAAAATGAAATAAGCAAAAGGGCGAAGGATTTTCAAAGATCACGAGATCCTTGTGCAAGTCCTGATTCCACTGTTCCCTATCTGTGTGATCTGAGGCCAAGTTGCTTAAGCTCGCTCAGCTTGTTTCCTCATCAATATAACAGGAAAATATATCTGTCTTATAAAAATGTGGGCAGATTACAATTAAACACATGACACAGCCGAGAACGGCTTCTGACCTGCTGCGCTTCATAAATGTTTCCTGGTTGCTGTGATGACAAATGACCTTTCCTCGGAAGCCTTGTGGATTTCATTTAGAGCTCTGGAATGATTGTACATCTTATGAAGATGTGTGAAATGAAGATGAGCAGGTTTGACTTTGCGGGACCACTTGGTGTGACCAGCAGTGGGATCCTGCAGTGCTGCGGCAGGAAGGAACCTGAAGTCTTAAATCCAGGCGGGACAAGGAGATGAGCGAGATGGCAGCACCTGCCAGGCACACAGGGGGAAGAGACGGCCTGTGACACTCCTGGTCTTCCAGGAATAAAGGTCACGCATGCAGTGAGTTTTATAGCCAATTTTACAAGAGACACTCAGGCAAGTAACAGTAATGCCTTTTTTTTTTTTTTTTTTTTTTTTTTTTTTTT